ATTTCCAATACAAAATTCCAACAGGGATATCGTTAAAGATGATGTGATTGCAGCAACACACGAATTTTTTGAAGGTAAAGATCTTCCTCGTTTCCATTCATCATCCTATATTATTCTCATTCCAAAGGTGAAGGAACCAATGGGCTTTGACAAATTCAGACCTATAAGTTTATGTTCTATTGTCTATAAGATTTTTTCCAAAATCCTTATGACCCATATGGCTGCTATAATTTCTAGATTTATCTCGTATGAGCAAGGTGCTTTCATTGCCGGAAGAAGTATTTTTGAGAACATCACTTTGACTCGGGAGTTAGTGCATTCTATGAATAAAAAAGCTAGAGGGGGTAATGTTGTGGTTAAAGTAGACATAGCTAAAGCATATGATAGGGTGGATTGGCGGTTCTTGCGACATGTGTTACAAGCTTTTGGTTTTCTAGAAGGATTTTGTCGATTGGTTGATCAGTGCATAACAACCCCTTGGTACTCAATAATGATGAATGGTACTACTCAAGGTTTTTTCAAATCTACACGTGGATTACGGCAGGGGGATCCATTTTTCTCCTTATCTTTTCATCATTATGCAAGAGGTTCTGACGAGGTTATTAAAAAAGAGTTTTGGTGATGGAACTATTGGTAGTTTTTCTCATCCTCGAGATGGCCCTTTGATCTCGCACCTTATGTATGCAGATGATCTTGTGATATTTGCTAATGGGTGTAAAAAATCAGTCAAAGGTTTAATGGAGGTGTTGGCAATATATGAAGACCGGTCTGGACAGATTATTAATAAGGAGAAGTCGGCAATTTTTTCCTCTAAAACCTGCTCCTTGATGCAAAAGGGTGATATTATAAGGGAGACTGGTTTCGAAGAGGGTCATTTTCCTATGACTTATTTGGGAGTGCCTGTGGTTCAAGGTAGATTAAGTGTTAGACATTTAGAGACCCTTGTTCAGAAGATTCAGAAAAAAATTGCAGGATGGAAGATGCTATTACTATCACAAGGTGGGCGTTTGGTAATACTTCATCATGTCCTTATGAGCATGGCCACTCATTTACTATCAGTGTTGAGTATTCCTACATTAGTGGTTAGGAAGTTAAATTCTATTCTTTAATCCTTTTTTTGGGGTGAAAATAATGGGAAGACTAGGAAAAAATGGTGTGCATGGGATAAAATGTGTCGACCAGTGATGGGGGGGGATTGGACTTTTAAGATTTGACGATGTCCAACGATCTCTACATATGAAATTATCTTGGCGTCTTTTGTCTTCAGACTCATTATGGGCAAGCTTTTTTCGAGCAAAATATTTGAAACATGGGATGTTGGATATTGCAAATGCAAGCCGAATTGGGACTCGATTTTGGAGGTCTATTAGAGATTGTATTCCAATGGTTATTGAACAAAGTCAATGGAAGATAAGAGATGGTTCATGCTCTTTTTGGTTTGACAAATGGCTACAGGGGGGGGTCCTTTATGCGCACAAGTATCTCAAGTTGTAGAACAAAGTTAAAAATAAATGACATTTGTTTGGAAAGTGGATGGGATATGATCAGGTTGAGAGATCTGGTAGGTGAGAATCTAGCTAGTCACGTTATTGCTCAAGTTGCAAATCGAAAAAAGGGGACTGACTTACTGATTTGGAAACCGCAGAAACATGGCTTATTTACTGTGAAAACAGCGTGGGAAATGGTGAGGATTCGAGGTGAACATGTGCAGTGGGCTCATTGGGTTTGGCACAATGCTTTGCCTAATCGCGTTTCAATTTTTATGTGGAAAGCCTTAAATAGAAGCTTAGGTGTAGATGAAAGAATTAAAGCCGTTGGAATAAACCTTGCTTCCAAATGTGATTGTTGCTCTAGGGATCACGAGGAAACTCTCTCTCATATTCTAAGCTTTAGAGAGTTTGCAGACAAAATATGGAGAAAGATTTCTATATTGGTAGGTGTACGTTGGAGGGCAAGACAACCTTGGTGGGAAAGAATAAATTTATGGTCGGTTAGAGCATAAAGATCTTCCCAAGTAGGTTGTTTGTTTGGATTAATTCCATGTTTAGTTACTTGGAAACTATGGTTGAGAAGATGTAAAGCAAGGATGGAAGGAAAGTTTGAATCTGTAGAGGAGGTGTTTCTATCCATTAAATTCTGGTTACAGCTGGCTTCAATTAATCTGTCAAATACAAACATCCGGACCAGTCAAGATGAACATGTTCTTCGTATGCTAGAGATACATCGAACTCCAGTCAAAGCTAAGCAGATTCGAGTGGTTTCATGGACTAAACCAATACATAATCGAGTGAAACTTAATGTAGATGGTAGCAGTCTAGGGAATCCTGGTCAGGCTGGGGGAGGGGGAATGATTCGAAATGAAAAATGTGAATTGGTATCGGCATTTTGTACTTACTTTGGGGAAGCTACAAATAATGAAGCTGAATTGAGAGCGATCATTGAAGGTTTAAGGATATGCCGTGAGTTAGAAGTATATCAACTTGACATTGAGTGTGATTCACTACTAGTGGTTTCTTGGATTTTATCTCAGAAGTGTCCCATATGGTATTTATGGGATTTCTGGGAAGATCTTGTGGAGCTACTGCAGAAATTCGATTTTTAGATAGCACATCAGTTGAGAGAAAGCAATCAAGTGGCTGATTCTTTAGCAAGTATGGGAGCTAAAGGCTTGTCGAAGCGGTATACCACGTGGACAGAGTTGCCAAGAATTGCTCGAGAATTACTTCGTTTGGATATGATGGGGGTGGTTTATTTGAGAAAGTAAGATGTAGTTGATGATGGTTTGAATAGTTGTTAATGTTACGGTTCTACTTGTCTAGATCGTTTTAATATTATGGCACTTAGGTATTCCTCCGCAATAAGTGAGGAAATCAATAAAGTTTGAATTCAATTAAAAAAAAAAAAAAGAGAGGTATACAAAAGATGTATTCCAACTATAAATGTTACCCTCAGAGGGATTTTGGTGGGTGGTGTGTTGGGGCACTTAATCAAGGGATTTTAACAAATATCTTAAGACAATATACAAAACACAAAAATAAAAAGGCTGTCAAGTGTCACTATAGTGTAAATTTGAAATATACGTAGAAGTTTTAATCGATGACATCTAGTACTTTAAAAAAATATTTTCAAATTTGATTGAGTACCGCTATGGAGGAGCACAAGCTATTTGACATGAGTCTTCAACATAAGTGAAACATAATTCTCTAGTTATTATATACTTGATCAATTATTTTTAAATATTTACTTAAAAGTATGGCAAATGTCATTAAATTACAACTATCAAATGCTAATGCTGTGAGTAAATATTTATTCTTGCACACATCTTAAATTACCATTTCCGTTGCCTTTTCACCATCTTTACGTAAAATTTAAAATATGCTTGAGATTTTATTTATCCACTCATCCAACTTTAATAGTTGTAAAATATTGTTAGAATTTAGACGTAAGATAATATTACTGATCTAGATATACATTTTTAAGTGTTTCGTTCTTGTTTTTTCCCCCTCAAAAATTTAGAGAATGTTATTTCGTCCACTAACTTTTGAGGTGGAGAACTTTAAACTCGTAAATCAATGTTACATTGGGTTTGATAACTAAAATCATCTAATAAAAAAAAATACATTTACATTAGAATATGTTGGATCAAATAATAATAATAATAAGGATTATAATTGAAAATTAAACTAATGTATTTGATATAATTATTACAAAACTGAAGTTCAATATTTAATTCTAAAAAAAAAAAACAATTTTCCTGTAAGAAATAGGAGGTACATTTAGGAAATCAAATTA